GGAGCCAGCACCTGCCAAGGGCTGGCTTAAGACATCTGATATTTGAAAAAGACAGTCTAATGGACATGCTAAATACCCTTTCTCCTAGATTCTCCCAGCTTGCCATAAAATAAGTTAGATCATCAAGAAGCAATGTACTTGGACCAAATTATCTCAGTTCTCCATAGAAATGCCTTCACTGATTGATGATACAAAGTTTTGCCATGAGCAAAACTGAGGGTCGATACAAAAACCGTCTCATCAGTATTTCTGTTGTTTTTGTGAAGCTGTAGCCAGGCAGTGTCTACTATGCTTGCAAATATCAATTTTAAAGAGGCCCACAGAAATTAACCTCATTTAACATAATTCCAAGAAAAGGTTTGTTTCTGTCTGTAAATGTATACACTGTTTTTTGTCTGTAGTGAACATTAGGGAACTAATGAGGCTTCCTTTTAGATGTCAGGAAACTCAGAGCTAAATTCACCTTAGGTTTATGGCGCTATCTATTTTTGGTGCTTTTTTTTTAAAGATAGTATTTTGTCTTTTCTACTTATCAACTACTCATTTTGCATAATGTTTAACTTGGAAGCTGATTTTTATCTTTTTTCAAAATTTGGAGGCGTATAGCTGAGGGGAGTAGAAATAGAACCAAAATTCACTGATCATTTACTTTGTGCCAGTTTACATATATAACCTTAGCTGTTATTCAAATACACCATGTTATGTTTTAAAGATGAGGTTCAGCTATGTAAAATAACATAATCAATGTCACAAAGCTACTAAGAGGCAGGGCTGATATTTGAACCCAGACCTATTTTGGTTTTGTACAAAGTGCATGCTCTTATTTATGATTCTACTATATATCTATACATTAATTTTTATTTTATTGTTTTCTGCACAGGCTCATGTAATTAAAGGGACTTTTATTATTTTTTAAGGTGCATTCTTATAGCCATTGATTATACAAAGGCATTTCTCAGTACTCTTTTATTTCCACTTAAGAATTTGGAATAGAGAGTTCCAGTCAAGATGGAACAGTAGGTAAATGCTATGCTTACCTTCTCTCACAACCACACCAAAATTACAACTAGACTACAAAACAACCATCATCGAAAATTTCCTGAAATCTTGCTGAACCAAAGACCTACAACTAAGCACATGCAGAAGAAGCCACCTTGAGACTGGTAGGATAGGCAGACACACAGAATGGGCTGGTCCCACACCCGAGTGTGACCGTTAAGAATTGGGAGGGATAGCTTGGCTGTGGAGGTGCCTTCCCCCCACCCCCAGGAGCAAAGAGTCCCAGTGACAGGGAGAGGGGTCCCATAATCTCAGATTGTCAAAACCAGTGGAGATTGTGACTGAGTGAGACAGAGGGCAGCTGCACGCCCACATGCTCCTCTTAGAGGGACTGCACTAGGGCTTACCCACCAACGGAATCACTGGCTCTGAGCTCCGGTGCTGGGGCAGCAGCTGGAGCAGCAGCAGGGACACACAATGGGGAACTGAGTTGTCTGGCTCAGGATCGGAGCTGGAGGGGCAGCTTTCTCCTGGACGAGAGCTGGCAGAGGCCATCATTTCTTTTTTGAGCCCTCCTCCACCCCTGCGTGCCGACGCAAGTGGCCCCACCTGAGCCTCCATCAAGCTGGCTAATGGCGTTCATTTGCCACACCCTGGTAATTCGAGATCCCACCATACCCAACTTTAGGGCCCACCCAAGCCACTTCCAGTGACCTTCTCTGTACAAACTGCCTGTCTTGGCTCATGCTGCAACATACCTAGGGTCTCTCAAAGGTTTGCACAATCCAGACAAGCAGCACCTGGGTTGAGCATGTCCTTTTCCTCTGGCTGAGAAGCCCTAAAGCCAGCAATAGCGGCAGCAGGCCTTGGTTTGCAGCTTGGCCTCTCGAGGCACTGCCAAGGGAAGCACAGGTGGTGGCCATCTGCAGATTGCTTTGTGGCTCCTTCCAGGTGGCCCCAGGTGGGGTACTCGTTTAGACTGAACTTGACCTGCAGTGGGTCACCTCCAAGGTGCCCCAGTGGCCAGCTTCGAAGTGAGCTAGAGCATCACTCAGTTGCCTCCCAAACTGACAAACCAAAGGGGCAGATTGGGTAGGCACCAGAGCTCTGCTGAGGCAGATCCTGCTCTGTAGTGTCAGCACCTGCACCACAACTCCTCCACTGTAGTCATGGCCAGTCCTCACAACCAATGAGCCTGAGGGTCAATCCCTCCCATTGACATGTAAATAGTGACCAAGGCTCAACTACAAGAGGAGGGCACACACAACCGACACACGGGACACACCTGGCGTGCACAGCACAGGTGACCAGGAAGAATACAGCACTGAGCCCTACAGCACACCTACTACATAAGGCCACTCTACTAAGACCGGGAGATATGACAGTCTTACTTAATACATAGAAACAAACACAGGGAGGTAACCAAAATGGAGAGACAAAAATAATAATAATAATAATAATAATAATAATAATAATAATAATAATACATTCCAAATAAAAGAACACACCAAAGCTCCAGAAAGAGAACTAAACAAAATAGAGACAAGTTATCTACCAGATGCAGTGCTCCAAACACTAGTTTTGAGAATGCTCAATGATCTCAGGGAGAACTTCAACAAAGAGATAGGAAATATACATATGGAGATAGAAAACCTAAGAAAGAACCAGTCAGAAATAAAGAATACAATAACTGAATAAAGAATACATTACAGGGAATCAATAGTAGATTAGATGAAGCAGAGGATCGAATTAGCAATTTAGAAGATAAGGTAGCAGAAATTACCCAATCAGGACAACAAAAAGAGAAAAGAATCCAAAAAAATGATGAGAATTTAAGGGGCCTCTGGGACAACATCAAGCATACCAACATTCACATTATAGGGGTACCAGGAGGAGAAGAGAGAGAGCAAAGTATTGAAAGCCTATTTGAAGAATAATGACTGTAAACTTCCTTAACCTGGGGAAGGAAATAGATATACAAGCCCAGAAAGCACAGAGTCCCAAACAAGATGAACCCAAAGAGACCAACACCAAGACATATCATAATTAAAATGACAAAGGTTAAAGACAAAGAATCTTAAAAGTAACAAGAAAAGCAATTAGTTACCTACAAAAGAGCTCCCATAAAACTATCAGCTGATTTCTCAATGGAAACTTTGCAGGCAAGATTGGTATGAAATATTAAAGGTGATAAAAAGCAAGGATCTACAACCAAGATTACTCTACCCAGCAGAGCTATCGTTTAGAATCGAAGAACAGATAAAGAGCTTCCCAGACAAGAAAATGCTAAAGAAATTCATCACCACCCAAACTATTACAAGGAATCTCAGCGGGACTTCTTTAAGACGAAAATAAAAAAAATAAATAAATAAATAATAAATAAATAATGTGAATAATAAAATGGCAAAAACTACATACCTATCAACAATTACTTTCAATGTAAATAGATTAAATGCTCCAATCAAAAGATGGGGGTGGGGAGTGCTGAATGGACAGGAAAAAAAAAAAAAACCCTTGCATATGCTGCCTACAAAAGCCTTACTTCAGATTGAAAGACATACAAACTGAAAGTAAAGGGATGGAAAAAGATATTTCATGAAAATGAAAAGAAACAAACAAAAAGCTGGAGTAGCAATATTTATACCAGACAAAATAGACTTTAAAACAAAGACTATATGAAGAGATAAAGCAGGACCCGGTAATCCCACTTCTGGATATGTAGCCAAAGAAATCTGAAACACTACTTCAAGAGGATGTTCTCATTTATATGTTCATTGCAACATTATTTACAATAGCCAAAATATGAAGCAACCTGGGCGTCCCTGAATGAATGAATGGATAAAAAATTGTACAACTATACAATGAAATATTACTTAGCCATTAGAAAAAGTGAAATATTGCCATATGGGACAACATGGATACACCTAGAGGATATTGAGCTGAGTGTAGTAAGACAGCAAAAGACAAAGTCATATGATTTCACTTATAAGTGAAAGCTAAAGAACAAAATAAACAAACAAATGAAACACAAACTCATAGATACTGAGAACATTTTGATGGCTGCCAGATGGGAGGGGGAGTTGGGAGAAGAAGAAGTACAAATTGGTAGTTACAAAATAGTCATGGGGATGTAGGGTATGGCATAAGGAATATAGTCAAGAATATTGTAATAACTAGGTATGGTGTCAGATGGGCACTAGATTTGTTGGGTGATAGATGGGGGCAGGGTGAAAAATGTGAAAGGATTAAGAAATACATATTGCTAGCTACAAATTAGTCATGGGTATGTAAAGTATAGAGAGTATAATCGGTAAAATGGTAATAACTGTATAGTTCAAGTAGGTACTAGACTAGTCAGGGGGATCACTTCGTAAATTATATAAATGTCTAACTGCTATGCTGTACACCTGAAACTAACATAAAATAATACTGAATGCCAATTCTAATTGAAAAATTTAAAAAGGGGGAAAGATAAAGAACAATAAGAGGTTCAAAGTTCCATGTATAAAACAAATAAGTCTTGGGGATGTAATGTACAGCATAGGAAATATAGTCAATAATATTGTGATTGCGTGGTACAATGTCAGATGGTTGCTGGACTTATCATGGTGATCACTGCTTTAGCATAAGGAATATAATCAATAATATGGTAATAAGTCTGTATAGTGCCAGGAGGGTACTGTTGAAGAACTATGATGTACACCTGAAACTAATATAATATTGTATGTTAGCTATATTTAATAAAAAAACTTTTTAAAAAAATTGGAATGCACCATGATGAGCATCAAGCCAAAACAAGAATGCTGGTTCATTATGTAAAGCACAAATACACCTTAATTACTTGACACTTTATTGAATGCAAAGCAAGGTTAAGCATCTTTGCCTTCCTGGTGCAGAGCTGAGGTGGGAGCCCAGGAAGGGGAAGGCTGCACAGCTTTCCGTGGCAAGGAAGATGTGTGCCCCTCCCTCCGCCCCTGAAATCCCATCTTGTTGTGGGAAGACTAACCCATGTTCTGTTGATTGCCATAGCCCCTAGGATGGGTGTCCTTCCAGTCATCCCACTCCCAAGCTTGGCGAAGTGTTTGCTCATCATCCTCTTCCTCCTTTTGCTCCTGATCGTCATGTTGCTGAGCTGCTCTTTTCACCTCTGATGTCATGTTGGCTATTCCCTGATCTGGTAATGCTCCAAATTTCTGATGCCGATCATACCAGTCATTCACTGTCATAGATGCCAGGCTTGGATAACCAGCTCCAAATACTTTGGCTTGGGCCACATTCCGAGTGAGAATGAAGGGTTTCATTGGAGGCCTGTCCTGAAGAGATGAGTGAGAAGTTGATGCCTCTGTTGAAGAGTATTTTTCTCTTAGGATCTTTACCTCCTTGTCAATGCTCTCAGTTTCTTCTAAGCTGATACCAATCCACCTTTGAAGGTGAAGGAGATAATATTCACGAACACACTCGTCACCTGCTTGACCACTGTCCACAGCAGATTTCAGTGCAGACAACCTATGCTCCATTTCCTTTTTCTGTTTGTATCTCTCTATCTTAGCCTGTCTTTGAGATGGTATAGCAACAAGGCTAGAATAGGCCATGGAGGAACTAACAGTGTTATTTTCAGCTGAGTTGTTCTTGGTTTGGGGCAACTCAAACTCTGCCACATGATAGTACTGGCACTGAGTTAAGTAGTTTAAAAAATGTTCTCGAGCCCACTGCAAATGGTCTAGATGCTTACTCAAGTTGACTTGTTTCATGGCAAGTGCTCCTTGAAATGCTGGCACCATCAGGTACTTCAGGTCAGTGGAAGCAATTTCTTCCAAATCTTCATTTCGGCTGAACAAGCCGAGCTGCGATAACATATCAGCAGCCTTCCTAAGGAGGTCCAGTCCCTTCAACACCTTCTCTTGGATTATCCGGGAACCAGTGGGTTCGCTCGCTGCTTCCACTTCCTCCAGAAGCTGCCTGCAGGTTTCAAAGAGCTCAGGGAGCCGAGGCAGTAGTAACTTGTCTTCTTCAGCGGCTGCCATCTTGGGAGAGGTAAAAACACTAATTTTTATTATAAGCTTATTTTGAACTTGATTATTAAGTCAATTAATTACTTAAATACCTATTCCCCTGTGCAGTATTGTCATGAGGGTAAAATAAAATTAAAGACATGAAAGTATTTTAAAAGAATTTTACAATGGTACACAAATGTGAAGTGTTTTAGTATCTATTCCTCCATTATATTGATCATTGTAAGATTTGAATTACTATATTAAAATCTAATGGTTGTATATGAGTACGTAATTATGAATCTTGAGTGCTATTCACTCTATTAGTACTCAACAATGATTTTTAATCAACTGAAAAGCTGAAAAGAGCTTTGGTCAAAGTCCCTGAAATATGAACTACTTTACTGATGTTCATCCACAACTGACATTCTAAATTAAACTTCAGTTCATAAAATCCCTATTCTGATAATGAAATTATTCTTACCATTCATATAGCATCTTCTTGCAAGCTCTATGAAACCATGCATTTGAAAATTCTACAGTGGTCCTCTGACCTGCAAACAGGTATTTCAAAGAAGGATAGAGAAACTATTTCTCATCTCTATCCTGAGGAATAGCCACCGACTTTAGAAAACGATTAATTGTCTCTAAACACAGACAAGAACAGTCTCTTCACTTTTTATCCCAGCCTGAATCCTCAGCCAATATTAAAGTACAAGCTCACCATGCTTGATCCTATTTCATTGTCTCTTTCTCGTTTCTCATTCCAGCTCTTTATCCTTCCAGAAAATGACTTTTGCTATTTCAACTCTTGATACTAATTATATTTTTCATTTTGTGTGTTAGCCCTACTTTCTTTAGCTTGTCAGTAAGAAAATATTTTAAAATATGCTGCATTAGAAATTGTGAACATTTTTCTAAACATTAACTACAAATATCACATAATGAAAACCTCACTATAATGGAAAGACTCTGGTGCTGTTTCATTATTAAAAAGGTAAACACCTCAGGGCGTAGACTGTAGGCCTGGGTGCTACTTAAACAAAGCTTAATTCCTTCAGTAGGACATTTAGTGAAATGTAGGCAAAATATTTTCTCTATCATATTTTTAACTTAATGAATTGCAATAATATCCTAGCTCAACCCCTGCCCGTACAATACCATCTGTGGTGGTCAGGGTATTTTTATTTTACTTCTATTTGTATTTCCAGAGGTCCTTGGACATTGGCCAAATCAGATATCACATGGTGAGAAATTTCATGGAAATGACTCATACTCTAAATTGTAAATACAAATGAAATAATAACATGTGACACTTAAACCAGGGTAACAAAGACCGTTTCAGGTAGTCACTAACACTTTATTTGAGAAGTAGTAGAAAAAAAAGTTGGGGTTGCAGAGATGAGAAAGGCCATCCCTTTCTGAGAGGAGTATCTCTGATCTCAATGACCAACTAGGAGGCAACTGCCTCCTGAGCAAGTTTAGTATAATACATCAGTCTGGGAAACTTCACAGCTCCCTTAAAGCCAATGCAAACACAGAAAAAGTAGCAGAAAAATAAAGAAGCATGTGAGCATGCTTGTCAGCTTAGTCAGGAAGCAGAGCCTGGGGCAGAGATTTGGATGCAATCTGTAAGGGAGAGAAAGAAGCAGCATGAAGAAGGAACGAGAATCAAGCAAAGGCATGGTGCATTGGTCTGATGAGCTAGGGATAGGCGAGACTCTCTAGAACAAGAGTCAACAGGCTTTTTCTGTAAAGGGCCAGGTAGTCTTTCACGCAGCTATTCAACCCCGTCATTATATTATAGCATATAAGCAGCCATTGCCAATAACACAAATGATCCTGGCTTTGTTCCAACAAAACTTGATTTACAAAAAAAGTCAGGGGGCCAGGTTTGGCCCAGAGACCATGGTTTGCTGGCTGCTTCTCTAGATTATAAATCATACCACAGAGCGATTACCTCCTCCCCACCTCAAAGGCAAGGAGTTTGGCCTTTTGTACTCTGTATCAGCCATCAGCTGTGGAACTTGGGTGGGGGTGGTGCCTCACCTCCAAGACAAGGTGGTTCCCATCAACTAGGATAGTAGTTCTCAAACTTCATTGTCAATCAGGATCACATGGAGTTCTATAAAACACAGATTTCAGGGCCCCAGCCAAGAGTGTCTGATTCAATAGTTCTGGGGTAGAGTCTGAGAATTTGCATTAGTAGCAAGTTTTCAGGTGAAATTAATGCTAATTTTTTGGGAACCACTCTTTCTGATCACCGAGCTCAGGCACTTCGAAGGAGGGGCAGCTGTGAGTACTTTGCAGCCAACACTCACAGCTAGAGGCCTGATACACTGGCCTGATCAAGGGTGTTTCCACAGGGCATCAACAGCTTTCAGAAGAATGCTTGGACAAGTCTGCAGTATGCAAAGATGTAGATTTTTTAAAGCATACCTCTGGATAAGGAAATGTTCATTCATGCCACCTTCTCTTTTTGATGAGGCTGCTCATTCTTGAACTATCCTGGCCTGGTCTATTCTGATGCAACTTTTCTTAACACTGAGTTATATCCTTCTAAGTACCTTTACTTATTTATATTTGTTTTCTACCATGTGTTTATTAATGCATTGATTGATATCAGTTGGCATACTAATCTTTGTTAAATTCTAATGTCTTTGAGAACACAGACCACGTTTTCTCCTAATTTTCTAACTACCGTGGGAAGAGAATTCTATGCACTGCATAGCTGCTTTGAATCAATATTTCCCCAGGGAAAATGAATCTCACATCAAATAGAAAATAAGAGTTTCTTTATTTAGTTCCTTCCATAACTTCTATCTTGCTCTTACCTATATTTCTGTTATCATAAAATATATTCCCAGACAACTGACATTAAGAGTATAAACACTGAATCTCTAACTAAATTTGTCCTCAAACATATTATGCTCCAAGCATTAATGCCTTTCTGTGAGCACTCTAATTCTGGCTTATAGAGTCACTGCAAGAAGACCAAAGAAGGAAAAGAAAAATCTTAATTTTTTTATGAAGCCAGTTCTCTGAGGTGTCTATAGATTGAGGGCAAAACACAGATCACTTTGTACTGAACTGTGTATCAAAATCTTGACTTATCTTCCTTAATATCCTTGAAGACAAAGCAGAGAAATGTGGCTTGGAGTTGTGACTACTTAAACACTTAAACCAGTTTCTAGAATGAAGTGAAGTCTACCTAAAGGGTCTACCTACAGGGGAATGATTGATGGAGTTATTTCAACCTCAAGTGTTCAGATAATAACATAGACACACACAGACACACACACAGCCAAGGAGTAAATGCCTAGTCAGGATGCTGGCTCAATTAGCCAGAGCTGAAGATGGTGATTGAAGGGCTTAATAAAATGAGGGCTATTATATTCTATGGCTCAGTGCAGTACAAGCTACAGAAGCAAGTCCAAGCCAAAATATTTTGGGAAGCACGAAGAGTCAAGTATCCATCAAATGAAGTAATAACATCAAGACCAGAAAGCAAGAGCTGGATCATAAGCCACAGGTGAAGTCAAGTTCCATATAAAAAACACAGGAGGACTTAGAGCTCAAGTGGTCACAAAGAAAGGAAGGGTAGACATAGGTGATGACAAAAGGAAAGGATAAATAAAGGTGATGTATGCTGCTTTTCTTTATTGTTCAGAAGGTGTAGAGGCATAAATTAAAAATCAAAGGCATACTTTGCAAGATTGAATATTATCATACATATCTTACAATCTACTAGCTAAACCCCTCCTAGATATGAGTTCTGACAATTCAGATCGTGAACTTGTTGCAACAATGTTGCTAACCTTTTTTTTAATATCGGAGGGATTATTCATTATGAATTTGTACCAACTTCACAAACAGTTAAACAATTTTACTATTTGGAAGTGCTGAAAAGGCTGCGTGAAAAAGTTAGACGAACACAACCTGAAATTTTCGCCAACAATTCATGGCTCTTGCATCACGACAATGCACCAGCTAACACAACACTGTCTGTGAGGGAGATTTTAGCCAATAAACAAATAACTGTATTGGAACATCCTCCCTACTCATCTGATCTGGCCCCCAGTGACTCCTTTCTTGACCTGGAGATAAAGGAAATATTGAAAGGAAGACATTTTGATGACATTCAGGACATCAAGGGTAATACAATGATAGCTCCGACGGCCATTGCAAAAGAGCTCCAAATTTGCTTTGAAGGGTGGTTAGGCACTGGCGTCAGTGCATAGCTTCCCAAGGGGAGTACTTCAAATGTGACCATAGTGATATTCAGCAATGAGATATGTAGCATTTTTCTAGGATGAGTTCGTGAACTTAATTTTCAGGCCTCGTATAAGCTAGAAAAATTTACAAAAGTTCACTGAAAGATATGACTAAGAATGTTCAAAGCAATGTTGCTCATAAAAATAAATAACTAGAAACAACCCAGATACCTATTTACAGGAGAGTGGATATATTGTGGTATATACACATAATATATATTATGGGAAATAAATGAACTGTAGCTACATGTTGTAACATAAATTAATCTTTAAAACATAATGCTGAGTGAAGAAAATAAGCCATATAAATCTGCTTCCACTTAAACTATAGAAAGTTACAAGAGAGTGCTGCTCCCATACTAATAGCGACAACAAAAACCAGATAATATACAAAATCATAACTTTTCTTGAACCCATCAAGGAGCTCAGGTCATAAGACAACCAACAAGAATACAAAGCACAAGTCCGCCAAACTAGGGGAGGTCAGGAAACCCTTCTGCCCAGTACCTGCCACACACACAAGGCAGTTTGGTTTCCACAACTGGAATGGGCAGAACACTGAGGATGCACTATACCCAAGGCCCAGATGCACAGGTCCTGGCTAAAGATGAGACTGGCCCAGGAGAAACAAAGTATCCCCTGGTCTCACAACAAACCTAGCAGCAAGTGACGAACAATAGCAGCCTACCCCTGAGGAAGCAGGGAAAGTGTGGAGAGGGATCCTTGCAACATAGGCATACTGAGACTCCTGAAAGCTGA